AAAATAATATAAAATAATATAAAATAATATAAAATAATATAAAATAATATAAAATAATATAAAATAATATAAAAGTAAATTTCACCAAATTTATAGTAAAAATATGTTACAATTGATAATATTAATCGATCTATTTAGGCAGTCCTATCACTCCATTAAGCATTCGTTACATCAAATATCTTTGTAATTTCTCATCAATCATTATTCTATACCGTCCTGTTAAGCTGCTATGTTTACATACCTCGATTTAATACAATTTCATACAGTCCTGCTAATGCGTTTTCCCGCAAATAAATAAATAATTAAATAAACAAGTAAATTAATTTCTGTTCTAGATTCTCAAGTTACCGGCGCGATCAGCGAATCGACATCCATCGACGTCGAACAGATAACGACAAGGACATCAACAGCTATCGTCTCTGAACCGTCAGCGTCGACGACAGAATATTTTAATTATATCAGCACCGAGGCGTCGACAATACTACCAAAACCTCCAATTGTTTTTATGTGCTCCAAGTAACAATCGCTTTGAAATAATTGAGTTGAAAGGATCTTTTCATTAAACTTCTAATGCTGCGTTTCCATTTGTGGATTATTAGGATGTTGCAAACCATTCCTATGAGCAAAAGATGCGACAAAGTTGTGGACTGTGAAGACGGTACAGACGAGCTGAATTGCACCTGCAGGGATTTCTTGTTCAACGTGAAACCGACCTCCGTGTGCGACGGATACATCGATTGCGACGATGAAACCGATGAGAAGAATTGTGGTAAGGTGAAACAATAGAATTTAGTGATTCACAACTTCCAATTAAATTGAACTGTGAAAGTGCATCAATTTCCTCGTTGCATTAATTTGTTACGGACGAATTAATCGATTTGCTGTTGCGACCTCTTTGAAAAGTGTGTACCTAAACTGTGTCACAAAGGAAAGAATTATTTGAACACGCTATATATGGAGTTTGAAAATAATGTTATTCCCTGTAAATGAGAGGTTCTTGAGGTCATTTTTAGTAACTTTTTCCTTTTCGCAAATGCAATGCGCGGCTTTGTTTACGAGTTATTAACGAAAAGTACTGACCAATGAGAAGCGAGCTCGGTTGGAGCAATGCGGTCGAGCCAACAAACGGACGAAGCTTAGCTCCGTTCATCATATGATCTCGTATCTCATTGGTCACTGATTTTCGGTTGATAACTCGTATACAAAGCCGCGACTGTGCACTCTCGCTACGGAAAAAGTTACTTCAAATGGCCTCAGGCACCACCAATTTACGGATTGCAAGACATTTTTGGGACACCCTGTATAACCCGATCTAATTGCACGATTCACTCTGTACACAGTTCTTTTATAATAATTATTTACATTTCTTTATTTGTTCGTTTTATTTCGTCCTGGTCTCCAAATATTCGGAGCGTCTTAAAATGGATGAATGTGTTTTAATTTTAACTAAAATTGCAATTTAAACAGCAAATTGTAATTACTTTGTACGTATGACGAGTATACTCGTCGTAGCAGAAAATATTGCCATTACTCCATGACGAGTATACTCGCCATAGCAGGAAATACTGTCATTTCTTCATGACGAGAATACTCGTCATATCAGGAAATACTGTCATTTCTTCATGACGAGTATACTCGTCATACCAGAGAAATTACTGCCTTTTCTTCATGACGAGTGTACTCGTCATATCAGGAAATACTGTAATTTCTTCATGACGAGTATACTCGTCATAGCAGAAAATATTGCCTTTTCTTCGCGACGAGTATACTTCTTATAGCAGAAAATATTTCTTCATGACGAGAATACTCGCCATAGCAGGAAATACTGTCTTTTCTTCATGACGAATATACTCGTGATAGCAAGAAATGTTGCCATTTCTTCATGACGTGTGTACTCGTCATAGCAGGAAATACTACCATTTCTTCATGACGAGTATACTCGTCATAGCAGAAAATATTGCCTTTTCTTCGCGACGAGTATACTTCTTATAGCAGAAAATATTTCTTCATGACGAGAATACTCGCCATAGCAGGAAATACTGTCTTTTCTTCATGACGAATATACTCGTGATAGCAAGAAATGTTGCCATTTCTTCATGACGTGTGTACTCGTCATAGCAGGAAATACTACCATTTCTTCATGACGAGTATACTCGTCATAGCAAAAAATACTGCCGTTTCTTCGTGACGAGTATTCTCGTCAAAAAAGCTGATTAATTTGCGGAAGCGATACACGGATGGGAGCTAAATCATTTTCAAATAAGACCGATCGTTGATAAACACTTATATTCCATAGAGATTTGCGCGAAAGACGAATTCTACTGCAGAGAAACCAAAACCTGCATCAGCTCTGCTAAACACTGCGACGGAGTGTCCGATTGTGGATTCACGGAGGACGAGAGATACTGCTGTAAGTAATAATTACACATTGGATGTTTATGCATATGCATATTTTTATAGAACACAGAGGGAGCAATAGGACCTGGATAGAAATATGTTTTATATGAATAGAGAATTCTAAAAATATATTTTTTATTTTCTATTTTTTGGATAATGCATATGTTTTTATGCATTTTTATTTTCTATTTTTTGGATAATGCATATGTTTTTATGCATATTTTCGTTTCCGAAAAATTTGCAATATTCCGATTTTTTTCGGTTTCTCATTCTTTTGCGACCAATGTTGCAATAAAAATCAAAAGAAATTCTATTATATGCGACATAAGGTCCAAAATATTCCGCATTTTTTGCAAAACTGTAAAAATCATCGGTGGAGAAAAAAATGCGTGAAAAGCGTGCATAAAAAAATTTTATATATATATAAAATTCTATCGTATGCGACATAATATATAATAATAAATAAATAAATATATATTAATTTATACAAATAAATAAATAAATAAATCTATTTATTTATTATATAAATATATTTATTTACATGTACTTACGAATAAATAACTCGAATTATAATATCCCATAATAACCGCAAAATGTATTGTCAATTTTGCATATTCACATATTTATTGTACATAAACATCCGGCGTCTATTAATAATCATGCGTTAAGCATAAAAATTATCTAGACACTAAAGAAAAAATGTCTGTTTGATTTCGACCTTCTTAGCGCAGATAATGCTCAATTTGCGTAAATATCCATGAATCAGGTGTTAAACTAATTACAGAAATGCGTGAAACCTGTTTCGTTCTCTTCACAGTCACATTGTCTAATGGACAGCACGTGCATTTGGACGCGGCCGAGCGGCCATCTTTGAGGATGCAAGGGATTCTAACCCGGTATGTTAATGGGAAATGGAGGCCTACGTGCCACTTTCCTAAAATGCATCAGAATAAATCCACGATCGAGGTCATCGGCCAGAAGATGTGCCATTACTTCGGGTTCGCGTGAGTAATCTTTGTTTCCACTCTATAATGTGCGCTTCCTTCGGCAACCAGCAATTTCTGCTGCTGTAGATTAGGTAGTCAACGTATTTGTTAACGTGCACAATTTATTTCTATTTTATTTGTATTTATTCCTATCTTTTATTTACTTTATTCATCTAATTTCATTTCGTTCCTATTCGTTCTAATCGATATCATTTTTTTTTTATTAATTTCACTGGTTTATCTGTATTTTATTAACATTTGTTCACTTTACTGACTTCATTTATTTACCCTCATTATATACATATACGTATAAAATATGTATAATATGATACATATATAATAGAATAAGTAAAAGTTAAGTTCGTAATAATAATATAAATTCGTTTTTCATCGATTCCATTTTTTCCTATATCTGTCCGCTTATTTTTGTCGTCGACTGTACATATTCAATTAAACACATTTGAAATGCATTTGAAATATATTTTTGGGAACGTCATTGCGAAAATTGAAATTTCCATTTTTCTTATCTCTTGTTTGAATACTTATCGACGAAAAATTGCGGAAATGTCGGTACGTAAGAAATGATGAGTGACGTCAGAAGTTGTCTGCCTCGTTCAGTTATCTGGAGTCATCGGAGCCAGTCAGCGTGAGGGATTCCGAGCTGGAAACGATACGCTGGAGCAAGAAGAACCCTGCTTTCCAAGCGAGTCTATCAGCGGCCTCTCTGAGCGACGGGGACAAAACCTGTCCCGGGATTAAAATCCGCTGCAGACCGGTTCTGAACTCCAGCGAGAACGCGCACCTGATCGTCGATGCGGGAACCGGAAGTCGTGACTACCTGTGGCCGTGGATCGCCGCCATCTTTGTCGACGGAAGCTACCGTTGCTCAGCTACCTTATTGGACGAGAACTGGCTGTTATCCGCCTCGAAATGCGCCGAAAACGTTAGGCAAGTGGAACCGTTTTCAAGAAATCATGAACAGAGATCGAGGATAACCCAGATCAAAAATTTCGTACCATTTATGGCGCGGCGACGCTGCGAACGTGTTCCTCGACGTGCGCCGTTTGTCAACAAGTATTGTAATTAGGCTACGGATTTTGGAACGGTTCTCGAAGAATTTCAAATATTTAATGAATTTATGCAATGAATATATTTGAAGGATTTACGCAATAAGGTGTTCAAAGAATTTATGCAATAAATATATTTAAAGGATTAAAAATATTTGAAGAATTTACAGAAAGAAATGTTTCAAGAATTTACGGCAGAAAGATATTTATAGAACCTACAGAAAGAAATATTTTAGGAATTTACAGAAAACGATATTTAGAGGATTTACAGAAAGAAATATTTCAGGAGTTTACAGGAAACGATATTTAGAGAATTTACAGAAAGAGATATTTCAGGAGTTTACAGAGAA